CAATATTATTATATATATATATATATATATATATATATATATATATACTTATAGAATTATTTTTTTATGTCTATAGAGTAGCCTTCATGAACGATTGTACGGTAAACCATTGGTTCAAGGAGGCTGTATGGTGATGGAAGCACCAGAACTCCTCAATTTGAAGCAACCGGCATCAAATCAATCTTCCCAAGTATCTGTTCCTAGTATTCCCCCAGTCACTAATACAGCAACTACTCCTGTTAAAGGACCTATCAATAAACAAATTGAAACGAGAACTTCTGATGGCAAACGAAGAATTACGCCTATGTTCATTCCACCGCCGGCAGATACAACGTAAGTTAATTTATCAATTTTATTTATTTATTTATTTATTTAATTAATTTGGATCCGACATGACTTGAATCTTGTGACATTTTTCTGTGATACTCAACTTTCAGGGATACAAATATCACTGGCACACCAACATTTACGAGTAAAGTACAAACGAAAAGTTCGATTGTGATAGAGAAACGTAACGATGTCGTTGCACCCAACGTTACTTCATCCGTAAAACCAGCTACCGTTGACACTCCAGGATCTTCTCTTACATTGAAACGCAAAGAACAAACAACACCGAGAATACACCATTCTTCGCCAAGTAAAAAGCCCAAATTCGTATCTGATAGAAACACAGGTCAGATGTTATTGCCTCCGTTGAAGCCGTCCAGCTCGTTATCTCAGCAGGCGGGTCATTACGCTGTAACTGTCACTAATAGTCAAGGCTTGGCCCATTTACAAGTATTTAAAGGCACAGATTCTGAACCAACGTGGGATATCTATTTAGGATATAGTGCTGTAGCATTAGCAGCATCACCAGCTGTGATAGCCTTGGGTTTAGAGGACGGGAGTCTTCACACATTTCATCCCGCGAAAGGATGTCGACCAGCGCCACCATTAGCACCACCAGCACCGTTGGCAAAAGTTCACGCTGTTGGGAATGCGGTAATTTGGTTCTAATTTAATCTAATTTAATCTTGTATATATTTTTACAGTATGTTTTTAATACGTTTGCTAATAGTTAATAATAAAACATTGAACAGGTGATGGTGATATCAAGCTGCGGTGCCGTTCGCGTATGGGAAATAGGAAATACATGTAGAATGATTGTTTCAACCTCGGCTGCTCACTTAGCAGTGCCTGGAACATCCTTATTGTCATGTACTTTGTATAATGGAATGCCTCATGTAGCATTTACTAATGCACGAGCATATATATACCACAAAGATATGGGTATAGCAAGCTTGTAATTTTTTCTTTGTGATTTACATATGATTATAATAAATAAATATTGTATATTGCATAAAGGGACGTGGCTGTTAATTGGAGATAGTCAAGATCCAGTGTGGCGATGGTCGTCATTCAACGTACTGAGCACTTCTGGTAATAGAGCACCCAGAGGACCTTTGTCATCACTACAGGAAGGATTGCTTAGAACTGCCGGGAATACCTTACCAAATCCACGATTACCGCATAGTGCACCAAGCGTGGTTTCTTACTTGGAACAACAGTTACTTGCATCTAAAGCTCTTGGAAGCGCTCAAGAATATGTTCATTGGCTTATGGCTCTGGTGTCATTCTTATTAACGCAAGGTGCGTCATGTTTGCATTTCATTCTCGTATATTTACTTTAAATCATATTCGCAATGTTTTTAGATGGTTTGGAAAAACGTCTAAGGTTAATTTTGGATGATCTTTTGGGCCCAAGCCATACGTCAGCTTCTAAAAGTGTATGGGATCCTGTTATTTTGGTAATATTATCTATATATCTACTCATTAATCATCTAATTAATTTGATTGCATAATATTCTTTTTGCAAATATTCTATAGGGAATAAAAAACATAAGCTTCTGGGCGATGTTCTAGCTGTGGTTGGTGGCCATCTTCGTTGGCAAAGGTTATACCTCGAATATTCAGAGCAGTTAACAACGCTGAAGAATCAGATTAATTAATGGTGATTTATCATAATGCAAATTCATTATGCCAAAAGCAACTCATCTTTTAGATTAGTGTCTTGTATATTTCTAAAGATATTGTCATAAGATATATATTTACAAATAAGACTGTACAGTTTTTATAACATGTGACTTGATACAATTGTATAATAATGAATAAACAATTTTTAGTATATTAACATTTATCATGAAAGAAGAATTATTTATATAATTATTTATATAATTTTTCTTGACAATGTTATTTGCCAATAGATGAGTTACTTTAGGAAACATGGACGCGAATAGTGATCGTATAAGTTACAAATAAATTCATAATAATATATTATACCGATAGAATACACCATCTTTAAGCTCTCTTTTTATAAAAATACATAACAAAGCACAATGTGCAATAAGCAGGAAATTCATAATTTTAAAAGCATAATTGGTGATCAAAACTAATTGATTTTCGCAGGATGAATTAAGTGCATTTTTTTGTGCGTGCATTGCCGCTGTTCTTGTTATTATGCTTATACAAATAGATTTACACACAGTTGTCGTAACTTCTCTCTTAACTTTATTCATGGAATATTAATGCAACAGCAAAATGATTGCGATAGATTGATGTTCTTTTTAAGGTTGTTTTCTCCTATAGAAGACGTTACGTCCTGAATTAGCACCATTAACTATCATATTATTAGATTAATTCTAGAGAATATGGGAAAAAGAGCTGAGACAACTCTCTTTCTCAAAAACTGATTGAACGCGACGTTTCGATATAAACGTAACGTATAAAAAATAAAGTTAGGCAAGTTATCTCTTACGTCAATTCTCTATTACGAATGTTGCATACGATAGGAACGCGGTAATACGAGATTTATCGCATATGCGTGTTTTACTATATATGTATATATATTGAAGATTTATCATCAGAGATTGTTCTTGTCTCATTTCGTTGTATACCCCGCGCGACATCAGATTTCGCGCTCGAAAACGAAAATAAATTTTTTATACAACAGGAAACAATGAACGCGAAGCGTGATGTTAGGCGGAGTCGCATCTCCTAATCGCAATTTACATCATTTAATATAATCCTTTAGTTGTGCTTCAAACGAAAACCGTCTACTGTGCGAAACGACAGTCACGAGTCAGTCGATATTGCACGCGCTGAACAATAAAATATACAATTGTATGTATACAATAAATTAAAGAATGCGTTCTCGTCGGCTACATAATTCTCAGTCGCTTGGTCCGTTACATTATTTACGTACAAATTCGTCGTATGTAAAATTACAATACATTATAATATATAAAGATTCCTGCGCACTGTGGTTACAGTCGATGGAAACGTTGACGAGCAAACCCAGGGCAGTTCGAATTTTATTTTCATCTTTTAATTTCTAATTTCGCAGGGTGAAAGTAAAGTGATTTGATCGTTTTACTTTGTATCGGCTTGCTTCGCCAACGTCTCATGTGGAGTATCAATTTTGTATTGGCAGAGTAACACACGGCTGAACAAGGACATTATCATTTGTATTATACCGGTGGCGGTCCATTTGGATAGAAGGCTATCGGCGTGAAGCTCTTTGCGAGATTATTAGAGAGCATACAACTGTAGTCTTCTTCTGCAGACGGGACCAGCGATGCAACTCCAAGCAGTAACAGCATTAGCGCTTGGATTGGGAGAGAAACTCGTAGGACTCGTCCCAAGAAGCGGTAACCGCGCGCCAATACCGTTCGTTCCCTTTCGTCACCACTGGAACAGATTTTCAATAATGGGATATTAAATTATATAGATTACCTCGTCGGGGAGATGAGAGCCAACATTTTCTTACAAACGACAGAACTTTATTTATCAACTTTATTCATTGTACGGCATATAATTGTTAAGTTTGTGCGTAATATCTATGTCGTAATATCTATAATATGATAAATAAAGTTCTAATAAAACGTATTGCATATTGTCACGTTGAAAGAGGGAAAAAGGAAACAACATACTCTGTGCCGGTGGCGTGAGGCTGAGCAGTCCCAGAGGCAGCTTCGTCGAGTAGCTACAGTTCAACAAAACAGAAAACACAAACAATAAGAGATACTGTGCAAGTGGTTACTACGGATAACTTATGCGTGGAAGTGCCATCCTGATGACTCATGTCATCAGCTGACGCTTCTCGCTCTGAAAAATTGATTCGTGTAATTTTACTAATTTGTGCAATAATCTACGATAAACGCTATACACCAATATAGAAATAAAAGCAATGATCATATTTTTATTGAGTAAATATATAAAAGTGACAATAGTGAAATCTATGATAAATACAAACAATATTTTTTGTTCTCTCTCTCTCTCTATCGTGTCAGCATTTAAAGCAGATTTTTGTTCAGTCATTTCAAGATAAAGCTTTTCTATAAACCAAAATGGAAAAGACACGTCTTTTTCTTATTTGTTTCAAGAACTAGACATTACAGATGTGCGCTGCACGTGCGCTATTTATTTTTTTTAAACAGAAGGAATAGATGCAGGTGCACGCGTACATTTTCATGATAGCGGCCATATCATATTTCAAAATTTTTTATTTCACGCTTGTACTACAC